GGTCCTTGCCCTCTAAAACACCCTAAGAAAAAAAAAAAAAAAAAAAAAAAAAAAAAAAAAAAAAAAAAAAAAAAAAAAGTTTAAAAATGAATAGCAAGCTACCGAGGCCTTGTCTAACCACCTCACGCCTGGCCAGAGGTACAGTCAGATGCATTGTGGACAGGGCTTCGTGAGAATGTTTTGAAAAGAAAGGGATTGTGGACAGGAAGGGGGAGTGACAAAGCAATAGGGCGTCCTCTCACTACTCTCGACATGCGTAAATGACACAAATCATGACCGTGTATCTTTCCATGTTCTAGCTGAAAATTGATTCTCATTTTGCACGAGGCCTACAGATTGCTCCCCCTGCCTCTCACACGGAGTCACGTGAAAAACATAAAACATTCTTCTTCCGAAGAAAAATAAAAAACAAAAACAAAGCCTTATGCTGATTTTCGAACGACCTGGACAAGCTGACCTGCCCTATGACTGGTCTTAGGGACCATTGCGATCGGACCTCTTTTCTGCTTTCAGAAACCCCAAACGGACCCATCCTAGCAACGTTGTACTGCACGACAATACCCAAAATGGAAAGGACACGAAACGACGAAATGCAAACCACACAAGGCGCATCCTCCTGGCTGCGAATTTGAGTATTTCGTCAGATACCCTTAAACCACCAGTACTTGGCCCAGCTATCGTTGCCGAGTTTGGAATCCCCCTGCTCGCCAATTTTTGCCGAAGTGGCAGGGTACCATTTCGATTTTTTTTGGCTGGCGCTTCCAGCCATTGAGGTCCGGTACCCCGAAGCCCGAACTTCGCGTAGCTTTAACGACAACGACCCGCGATCAATGTATGGGCCAAGTACTGGTGGTTTAAAACACGGGTATGGCGAAACCCCCCTAAATTCTGCATATGGCCCTGCTCCGGCCATGGGGAACTTTCTGATATAGGCCTTGCCTTCACACAGCACTCCTTCGACCACTAAAATTTTCCAACATAGGTCCAACAGTCAGAAGTTCGGGGGCAGTAGAGAAGGTGTGCAAGGTCAGGTAGGGGCATGCACAAGAGTTGCCAGGTCCAATTCACGAGTTGGGTATTTCACAAAGTTTCAAATCTATGAGGAGAGCAGTTCACCCTACCCTTGCTTTTTAGGGGTATCTGACAAAATACCCCACTTTCAAGGGCATTTCAACATGTTCTCCTTTTCTTTTCTGACGCCTCAAGGATGAGGTCTAAGCTCAAACGCCCCTAAAAGATTGTGGTGGAGAGGAATGCCCTTCGACACCAAAACTTTGTGTTATACCCTTCTTACCTCGGTTTAAAAGTCTCTAATTTACCCCTCCCCCTAGTAGGCCATGCCCTCATTAACTTTGACCCGGATAGCCCCCATGGTTTGCCAACTTTGCAGAATGCCCTAAGCCCATCCAAACTGTGACGTGATTATTTGCGTAATGTATGAACGATGGATATAGTATGATAAAAAGAGAGACATATGTAACATACACGCATGCTATACAACAAAGAGACAAAGAGAGAGACAAAGGGACAAAGAAAAACTATCGTTTTACAATCTGCATCGTACGAATCCGCGACATAAAGAAAGAGAGAGGGAGGTTTTTTCAATACGTGTGCATGTGTTACACTCGTAAATAAAATATTATTTACAAAACGACTCCGCCCCCATGTGTGTGTGTGTGTGTGTGTGTGTGTGTGTGTGTGTGTGTCTCTC